AGATGTCTGTATTATCTGCATGTAATAAACAAGATTTTCTTAAGCTTTGTATTTACCTTGTATTTGTCATCTACTGCAAGGACTGTAGGTTTCTTTCACCTCACATCAAGAAAATAGGGCTGATTTCTTTTGGTTATCTTATTTCTACTGAAGCCTATAAAATTGTCTCTTATGAAGCACTGGTACTAATTTGGCTGACAGCAACAGGTCAAGTTTCTATTTTACTTTAGTTTAGCGTCCTGCTATGCTTTGCAAATGAGTCTGTTACAGTAGAGCAATAGAAGAGCAGGATCTGCATCCACAGACTGGCATCATTTGAAGCCCTACAGGGAAGCTTAAGCTCAAATGCAATGGGAAGATTTGGAAGCTGGCCAAGCCTTGACCCTGCTTTAGCAGCAAATCACCTGTGCAATGAAGATGTTAGCTACACCACAGCAGTGTGCTCCCTTTGATGCTTGTTAGTGCTAAAAATAATTCCAACACTGATTTCCCTAGGGTAATTAGCCTGTGCAGAATCAGATTGAGATTAGACTTTTTCTGGTGCTTTATCAAATTTAACTTCAGGTATTTACCATATGCTGCAGGAAGAAAAGGCTGTCTCAGTTGCTCTATATTAAGATGTATGTGTCTAATTCAGTGTCCTGCGTTACCTTCTGGGATCATACCCAGGGAGAAATGTCCTCGGGCCCACCTAGGCCAGCCTTTCATTTTGGACTTGTTTTTTTTCTGCAAAGGAAGTGCAACACTGGCTTGAAGGTGTTGATAATCCAAGGGACATCCTGCCCCTGGTAAGGTATTCCCTTTTCTTTTCAATATTATATATGAGTGTAACTAGTGCTGGGTTTGGAATGCTCCAGTACAAACTGGAGTTACTTTATTTGGATGATATTCTCTTATCTCTGTGTCTGTTGGTGCTTAGCATAAAGTTAACTGTATTTCCAGATAAGGCACTGAAATAAGCCACTGCAAAGAAGGAAGTTTTGGTTTCTTTAGTAAAAGTCATATCTCTCAGTAATGATTTATATTTGACTGTGTTTGAGATACAATCATAATTAAAAACCTGGAGTGCTTGGTATGATCTGTTATAGAAATAACCAGCCAGCACACACAGTGGTTGTTCTGCCAGCTGAGAGCTATTTTCCTGATATTTTCCTTTCTCTCCCAGGGAGCAGTGGTTTAATTTATGGCTTCTAGGGCCAGAGAGTGGAATTTATAGCAAAAAGATAAAAGAAGGGTATGAAAAAAAAGACCTCAGTCCCTTACTCCCCTTCTCCCTTATCTCCTTCTAGATGTCAGCCTTGTTTCTCAGCACACTAAATTCAGAAATTATAAACCTAAAGAGGTTATACTCATATTAGAACTTTCCATAGCCAAATACTATTTTGCAGAGCAGAAGCGTAATTAGCTTTGCTTGTAATTTTTACAATGTGTCGTGTGTTAGGTTTTAGGTCAGTGAGTGTGCCAGGCAGGCATAGATTGGGCTGAATATCCTATGCCAGAACAGCCAAAATCAATAGAGGTTTTACAGAGGGAGTTTCATTAGTTCCTTCTAATTTGAACCTATTTTAATATGCATCCAAACGGGGGGCATCTTCCTAACAGTCTCTGATGCATGTTGGTGTTTTCAGCTGTGATGGATTACCATTTAGTTGTAGCTGAAAACATACTGGCTGAATCAGACCCTTACAGGTGGGTGGTGCATGCACACTGACCCAGAGTTTTCACCTTAATTGGATAAACAAATTGAGTACAAGGCTTAATAGATTTATGGAAGCTGTAATAGTTGTGGTGTGGTGCTCAGCAGTGTTTCTGTCATCTTGCTGGTTTGGGAGATGATGCTTAAAAGTATTAGCAGGAAGTGTCTCATGGTGCCTCAGTGAGCATCGTGCACTTCTGGGTGTGCAGGGAATGGTTACAAAGCGAAGAAAGACAATCTGTTTCATAATTCCCAATGTGTAAATGAATTTGGGTTTGATCAGTTTATTTGTTTAGTTATATTGGGCACTTTTATAATGTTTTCAGACTCTCTTGCAGTATTTCTCACTTGTGGCTTTGCTGGCTTCCTGACAAGACAGTAAGTGAAGTAGAATTGCAGAATGATTTCTCTAGGCTTTCAATTGCATTTGAAATATCTCACAGAGCCACCTGTTAGAACATCTAAAAAATAATTTAGGTCTAAATATTATAACAATTTAAGAGAGTACATATGGAGTGTTACAGTGAAGGAAAACAAAGCACATTAAAAAAAATAAAAAAAAATCCCAAGGACCATAATGAGAAGATACTTAAGGGAGGATAAAATGCTAGAAATATTTGTCCAGTCATAGTGAGCTGTAACCAACTTTTTTATCACTAATCCTTTCCTTCTTGCCCCTATTGCCCCCAAACGAGGAGACAGCAAAAGAAAAGGATATAATAAAAATGACACATGCAATCAAAGTGGTCTCTCCATAGGAAAACATTAAACTATGTGGATTCTTCTGAGCATTTGAGATTTAGCAGCATATTAAAGAGAGGGCTGAAGAAGATGGGCTAAAAAGATAATTTTTTTTTCTCACTGCATAAAAACAAGGAGCCATTCAATTAAAACCAACAGAATTAAAATTGATAACAGGGAATGTTTCTCTTTGAACGATTACTGTTTGCAGATTTTTGATACAATGTGCCATTGAAAGGTAGAGAATAAAGAGGCCAAGCTTAGACCAGGAATTTGGCAAAGTATGTCTTTTTTCCTTGTGGTTGCTTAGGGAATATTTGGCGATGCGGTTGGCAATGAACTTCTGAGGCTGGGGAAGGAAGAAGGAAAACTTCTGGCCCGTGGAGGATAAGGACTTATGTGAACAACATGTTGGTACTGAGAACAACATGTTGGTGCTGAGAACACACGTTTTACAAGCAAGGGAGAATTTATCTCTCTGAAATTAAGTGGTTTTGTTATGTTGCTCAGTATGGCATGGTAGGGGGTATCCCAGTGATCCTGGCACCCCTGGCTCTTCCACTGATCTCTAGGGAACAGATTTCTGGTCGTGGTGGTGATGTGTGTGTCTTCTGCTTGAACTGGGGAAGTGAAGAAAGGGCCAGTCTGCAGATGACATCTGTGAGGGTGCATTTGCCATTCAGACTGTATTTACCCTTTTCTCAGATTAGAACAGATCGTGCATTTTTTGTTAATGGTGTATCATAGCCATCATTTCGGTTAATTTATTTGTAAATACAGTATTTATATAGGAGAAGTTGTAGCTGCAGCAGGAATATGGATGTAAAGGTTCAGAGGCAGAGTATGGCCAAACTTCTAAGCAATCCAATGACCAGGGATGGTCTTACTTTTTCTGTGGCCTCGGTTAGGTAACTTGGTGCTCTCTGTGCAGCAAATACAATCAATGTATTGCCCCAGTGTGGGAGCTGCAAGGTGGCAGGTTACTGGAGCCACCCCTGCTGCCTTGAACAAACCCCAGAATCTTTTCATCCAACTTCTTTCCCTTTTTTTATTTTTTTTAATTTTTTTTAATTCCACTGTTTTCCTACCTGGCTTGAGGAGGACTCTTCTCACTCTGGGTTAAATGCAACTGTGTCTCAGAGATACAGTATGGTCCCTGCACCATCCTTCCTGAATGAATGGGCATTTCTATTCGGCAACTGAGGCAATGTAATTATGAAAAAAATCATTTGACTTGGGGAAAGTAACTGGAAAAACCTACAGGAACAAGTCTGCTGCTAGGGAACAAAATCTCAAAGCAAACAAAATAAAAACAACAGTGGTGGGTCATCAAAATGAGAGGGGTGGAGAACAACAGGAAGGGAATAGGAAGCAGTAGGAGCCTTGGGAAGTGGATGTTGAGCTGGGCTCTGCTCAGCAGGTTTCTGTGCATGTAGGCGAGCAAAGCAGAGAGCACTGGCAGCAGATGAGTTCTTTAAATGAGTCCCAGCAGTGCGTTTCATAATGTTTTGTGCAAATGTGTGCACAAATGTGCACACATTGTGCCTAATAACTTCTGTTGCTGGCATGTGATGGATGTGGTGCTACCAGGGAGGCCTCGTCAAGATTTTATGCAAAGAGGGAAGAGCTGAAGTGAAAGCTCTCAGGTGATGAGAGCAAATTCAGACACATCTCGGTGAGCTTGTGCAAGGCATCAGGTGCTGCTCCAGCACAGGCATCCCTCCACCTCTGGTCAGATAGGGTTGGTATTTATTTCTTTTCTTGTCCCTCCATAAATCTGTTCATCTTATGCTTCAACCTGAGTTCAGTGAGAAAGACAGACCCACCATGGCTTTGTGTACCTCAGATCTTCCTCTGTGAGGGTCAGAAAATTGTTTTTACTTCTCAGTGATGCTGCTAGGGAGAAAATAATTTCAGTTTGTTCATGAGCACTTTATTACTGTGGCTGACTTCTGGAGATAGAGGTGAAAATGCTACGTTAAGCTGATATATCTATACTAGCACACCTTGCTCTTTGGGCAAAACTTATTATTGCCTCCTGAATGCATGGAATTACTGATATTTATTATTAATATAAAGGGAGGAGGAGAGGATTGTGCAGCTTTAGTTACACAGTAATACAGTTAGAGCATTTTTTTGTAGAGCCTGAACACTGCAAGTGTGGTAAGGTTAGTCATAAAGTTATTTAAATAAGTTATTAAGTAACTGGCTCTACAACCTCATCAAAATTAATGGTGTAAGAGTAGATTTCTTTGGAAGCAGACTGATTTCTTTGTCTGGATTCATCCAACAATTGTATTTCTGTTGCCTGTTCTGGCCTTTTTCCTAGTGATCAGGAAAACAGTGGGATAAATATTTTTTTGTCAACTGTGCAACAGTTAGGAGGTAAATATGCTGTGAGTTTTGGGAGCAGCCATCATGTAGTTAATGGTTATATATTTCTAAGGACATGGGTATATGCTGTAACCTTTGAGTGTGTGACTATAAAGGAGTAAATCTATAGGTTTCATCACCTTTTTTCTTACTGAGTTTTGATGATGATTTGACTACCTCTGCTTCACAGAATAAGGATGGTTGCTCAGCTGTTAACCACGGAACAGTCTTCCTGTGAGGATATTCCTGAGCACAGAGGTGTCCATTTGACTGCTCTCTTACAATGCAGATACAGTAAGTGATTTTGTTGTACCCCTTTTCTTCCCAGCTGACTAAATGCTCAGGATGAGTTAACTCAAAGTTGAGTCCACCAATAGGTTTTCAAAATCTGTAGCTGATCCAGCTACCCATTTTTGTCCTCATTTTCATTCAATTGCCTTCTTTATGAGGAAAACTATTCTATAGCATCAGCTTTCACTGACAGTGGGTTAATGTAAGGGCGTGTTTTGGGGTCCCAGCTGGGATTCCTTGTATCCAGCGTGCTCTCTTCAGCCTCAGCCACCTACTTTGTGGAGCTGTTTTTCTTGTGTGCTTGTCCATTAACATGTCCTGCAAGAATCCACATAACCTTGGAAATAGCCAACAAAACCCTACATAGCCTAGAAAAGCGTCAGCAGAAATGTCAGTGCCAGCTTTGCCAGCAGGTTTCGTGTGCTCGCAATGTCACGATTTAACTCCCATCAGTAAGTTTTGTACAGAAACAGTTTCAAATTGGATAAATCTCAAGTTTTCACAAATCAGGACTTGGCAGAAGAAGAAATATAATGTGTCTTCTTTGCAATCATGAAGTAGTGGGCAGACATTGCATTTTTGTGTAGGAATAAATACTTGTTCTGGCTGTTTTCCTCCTAAATAATCAAACCTACCCACCAGATTGTATTTGAAAGCACTTACTAATGTGACATGCTCCGTTTTAACTGTTTAGAAAAATGACTGAAAGTTTTAAGATGAGACAACATGAATCATAGTCTCCAGCGGCTGTTCACTTCTGTGATTGACTTGCTTTCTTCCTACGTTCCTTTTAGTCACCCTGGGAATCGCTGAAGCTGTTCTGTGCAGGAGGCATTGCTGAGATTCCCCTCGCAGCAATGGACTTGGATAAACCGTCCGTATGGGGATCCCTGAAACAGAAAACTAGACCATTCCTGCAAAACCTGAGCGTGAGGAAGACGAAGAAGAGGTCTAGCAAAATGATGAAGAGGACAGTGCACTCCTTGGACCGATGTCTGAGTGTGTCGGTGCCTGACATGCTGGAGGTGGAGACTCTTACGGAGGAAGAAACGACTTATTCAAGTACTCAGGTGCTGTCGAGCAGCTCCCCCAAGAGCTTTTCCAGGTCTGTGATGTCTCTGAAAAGCAGAAGCGCTTCAGCGAGGGCAGTGGGAGAGGACTGGCCGTGGCTGTCGCAGCAGGTGGCACGGACAGAGGTGATTGTCACCCCCCCAGACTCGCAGGCTGCAGGCAGCCCCGTGTCTGAGGGCAAGAGGAAACCCAGTGACGACTTCTTTGAGCTGCTGCAGAGCTCCCGCCTGAGCGCTGCTCTGACGGACGAGGGGGCAGAGGTAGGTGCTTGAGCATCACCCAGGCTTAGTGGCCACCTCGGGCTCGTTGTGCTTCTCCTTAATTGTCTGGGTTATAAAGGGGTGGAAGATCCAACCAAGGCCAGGTTGGACGGGGCTCTGAGCAACCTGGTCTAGTGGAAGGTATCCCTGCCCATGGCAGGGGATTGGAACGAGATGATCTTTAAGGTTCTTTCCAACGTGAACCATTCTGTGAGGAAGGGGCTCTATTCAAGGAATGAATGGGGAATACAAATAAGAATAAACTTTACATGATATACACATTATTCAAGACTAATTCAGCTATTCTTTCTGTCAGTCTGGAGCTGCAAAATAACCCTGCTCCATTTTTTAATTTTTCTATTATTATTTTTTTATTTTATTATTTTTAATGGCACTTTAGCTTTTCAGGTTTATTGGAGTTGCTTGCTTAAATCAAAAGTTGTTGCAGCCCTTTGAGCTCTGAAATACAGTGCATTTGCTTTTTAGTTACTAGAGTTTACCAGGATTGCTGTATAGCGAAATCAACTTACCATTCACCCACTCAAGATGCAGATGAAGGCAGTGGGTGAAAGATGACTGAGAAAAGTGAACTCTGCCTGTCTCTGGATTTAACCAAAACAAGCACGTGATGGAGAACAGAACATGTAGCATCATGCTCAAGACTGTCCTTTGGGTTTTCATCGTGATGATTTAGAGGAGGTGCAAAACCAGAATGCTCCCTCTACGTTCCCCGTCTTGTTCCCCTTACCCTTCCCTCCCATCTCTGTGGTCAGTATTTATGTGGCTGGACATAATTTCCCATGCACAGGAGGATCAGAGACCAATGTGCTCCAAAACTGACATGAAACTAGTTCCTGCTTGGCCTGAGCAAATTGAGAATCCTGTGGAGTTGCACGATGGCTTCATAAAAGAGACAGCAGGTGAAGATTGGGCTGCATGAAACACTTCAGGAAAAATCTGCTTTATTTGTATTTTGTGGAAGTATGTGTCCTGCTGTTGAGTTCTCACTGGGAAGGTTAGATTTTGAACTTTTTGCGGCCTTTTTCCCATTATCTAATTGTTGCAGTTATGGCTGGTTTCCTTAGTCATTCAATATTCAAAAATGGCAACCAGGCATTTTGGTTTAAACTCCTCCTGGGAATGGTGATTTCACAGGTTAATTATTTTTAACAGGTTAATTATTTTTTAACTGCACCGTTCAAAATGATGGTTAGTGCTGCTGTGGGGAAAATGGTCCTTTCTGATACAAACTGCTTGTTCTGCATCTTGAAGGCCTGTGTATTCCTACCAAATCAGCGTTGGCTCCTAGTCTGTTGTGATGCAAAGTGTCAGGCCAGTAGTTACTGACCATCGCTTGCAGTTTAGTGTTGCTAAATTGTTCACACATTGGCTTCATCTTAGTGGAGTGTACCATTATTCAGAGGGCTCCATAAAAAAAATGACTGGAATAGTATATTGCCTTGTTTCTGTGCTCAAACTTTACTCTAAACTTGTAGCACCTCAATCAGTATATGGCAAATATATGGACTCTCATTTTTGTGGGAGTTCTTCCACGTTGTTTTAATGACAGCAGCAGTTTTTTCCTGCTGTTGTAGACCAGAAACCCTAATCTAGAATTAACCACAGCACACCAAAGTTAATACTATATCCTGATTTGATTTTGGGCAAATGAAGTGTTCAAGGAGAATGAAGTACCTGTGTAGTGATGGCATAGCTTAACTTCAAGTCAGGTTTCCTCCAGATGTACAGTCTGAGTCTGGCTTATTTTTTGCAGCATTCATATCTTTCCCTAAATGTGTATTTCTGTATGTGCTAGTGTGTGTAAATCATTTAGTATTTACTTTTATGGCAAATCATCTCGCTATGTGAATACCTTTCCTTCCTATAATCTGCTTCCAGTACAACTGTTAAAGGCAGAAATATCATTTTCCTCAAAAATACATAGGAGAGTATGAAATAGAAATGGATAAGAAATATTGAACAAATTTAATTGTATCGAATCTGATTCAGTAGTGGAAGGTGTCCCTGCCCATGGCAGGGAGCTTGGAACTAGATCTTGAAGGTCCCTTCCAACCCAAAGAATTCTATGATTCTATGAAAACCTCAATATTCAGCTTCTCTTGTACGTGAATGAACAGCTACAGGATTTGTGCTCTGTGTGTCTTGGATAGGAACAGTTTGTTACAGAGGTTGTTAGTCTCTGAATACTGGGTGGGGTTGCTGTGAGGAGCAATACATGAGTTCAAAGAACAAGCATTGTTCTTTTGCGAGCATCACTCACTGCTCGGGGAGGTAAATCAGAAGGAAGGCAGATCCCTGGAACAAAACAAACTAAAAAAAGCAAAAATGTAGGTTGAGCTTTTTTCCCCCCCTGAATTGCTTGTCACATGCCACCTACTCATTTCCTGGTTGTCTTTGGCCACCCGATGTCGTGAGATGCTTTCGGAGCCTCCTGCATGATCGTCAGTGTGGGCTTGTGGTTTTCCCATCGCTCTGAACCCTCCGTGCAGAGCTGCTGGCGCTCAGCACGTGCCATCCTCAGCAAAGGCTCTTGCCACAGGAACCGTCTTCAACATTTGTCGAGAGATTTACTTTCTGTTCTCCACTACAGCCCAGCCAGGCGAATCTTAGGGGTGAAGAGGCAAGTGAATTTGCATTGAATCTCCCCTCCCTGCCTGGTTCAGGTTGTAAAGGGCTCCAGTAATGTCACTTTTTTTGTCCATGCCCACGTGTCATTGCTGGGATGTTCTGACACCACTTCGTCTTCTTGCCAGCGCTTTGCAGTGAGTCACTGGCAACCCCCAGCCTTGTCCTGTTGCTGATGCACTCAGTGCCCTTGTATTATTAATCATTCTGCAGAAAACGAGGAGACAGAGGTTCCTCTTGCCAAGAGGAACTTTTTATTTATTTAAATATATATGTGTTCATACACACACTCTTGCTTGCTTTGTTTTCACGCAGATATGTTTGGGACTATGGCCCCCTTGGATGTGTTGACTTTTGTTTAAAGTTGAGAAATGTCACTGTAGTTTGATAAAAATCAAGATTTCAGGACCAGATTTTCACCAAGACGTTTATCTGTATTCAGTGATCTCGTTGCAATTAGCTACCTGGTATAATAGTAATTTATGTTATGAGGAGCTAAAATGAAAAAACTAAGCTTTTTTACTTAAAATTATAATTGCTGTTCAAGATCTGTAGGTGTAATGCCAGTAAACAAAAAGTTGAAAAAAGACAAAATCGTAACTTTGAGAGTAATTTTTTTATTATAAATTATATCAAGCTACCCAAGACAGTACTTTTTAAATTATTATAATTTCCATGCACTTCTTTGATCCTGTGTTTGTGCCATGTAAAGCAAGCTGTAAAGAGAAACCATTATCAGTGCCAATGATGGTGCCTGAAGGAGATTCTTGTGAAGCCAGAGACTCCAAGAAACACTAAGTTTAATGCACACAAGTGAGATTTTATGCATACTAGTCAGAAAATTCAAAGTTAGGGTTCCCCTAGCAGCTGTAACTCAGCTCTGTTGTGTGAGAAAATTCTTCTGCTGCTCTTTATGATGATAATTTTTTCCAGTTTTAATGTGTTTTTGCAAGGTGGCCAAGTTACGATTACTGTGGGAACCATAATGTTAAATTTTGTCTGTCATGCAAGGGAAATTTTACTTGCAATGCTGAATTACTCTACTTCCTGATATGTAATATATGTATTTGGGGGGAGGAGGAGGTGAGGAATTACACAAAGGATATTTATATTTATTTCAGCGTGTCAATATATCTAAGATTTATGTACTTTGGTGCAGGAACTGGTTCTTTTTTTAATGTCTCTATAGTGCTCCACACAATGCCTCTCTCATCTGAGAGGTTTGGATGTTACCACACTGCACATAATAACATTTTCACATGAGGATCGAATTCCACCTTGTGTGCATTTTTGTAGACTGAGGTTATTCATTGCATAAATCTTTGTATTTGAGTGGGCTGTGAGTGCCCTGCATTAGACCAAAAGAGTTGCCCAGGCATGTAGGTCCTCTTAAACTTAAATGATGATCATAGGCTGTTCTAGCAGTTAAAATAGCATCAGAGGTGTCTTGACTGATGAATCCCTTCTGTGTGTCCAGTCTAGATGTTGTGCCAGTGTAGCCTCAAATTTTTTGATGAGTCAGTATTTAGGAAGAAATGTTTGACTTTCTCTCCTGTGCTGGGCACTGGATAAAAAACCTTTGGATCTTCCACTTACTGCAGAAAGCAGGGGGAAGTACATGTCCAATGTATTTTTTTTTTCTCTTTTGTCATGGTTTAACACTACAGGCAGCTAAATATGACATAGCTTCTTGCTTACTCCCCCCTCAGTGTGAGACATAATCCTCCATCCCAGAGTGTACTGGGGAGAGAATCAGGGAAAACGAAGATTAAATTGGTGGGTTGAGATAAAGACAGGAAAGGAAGAGAGAATAATTTAAAAGAATGACACAACAATTAAAATATTAAAAACAAGTGATGCACAGTGTAGTTGCTTATCACCTGCTGACTGATCCCCAGCCAGTTCCTGAGCATGGTCCCTGTCCAGCAACAACTAAAACATCTGCATGTTATCAACACTGTTCTCATTCTAAATCTAAACCACGATAGTGTACGAACTACTAGGAGGACAATTAGCTATTCCAGCCAAAACCAGGACACCTTTCCCTTTGACCATTTCTTTTTAACTTTTCCCCTGAGCATTTTTTATTTCAAAAAAACCAAAACAAACAAAACCAAACACACAGACACACAAAAAAACCCCCAAACAAAACCACACACACAAAAAACCAAAACAAAACACCCCACCCAACCAAGCAAAAAAATCCTTTTCGTGGAACTTGCCTTTTGGATGATGAAGGAGAAATTGTAGTTAAGTGAGAGTAGCCTATCACCAGATGCAATAACCTTCAGGCATCAGGAGAGTTTGTGGTGAGGACCTTCAGCACTTGCTACTGGGGAGGAGAAGTTATTCCAATAGCTGGAAGGAGGTACTTATTCTCTTGGATTAAACTCAAGAGACTAAGTGCTGTTACTGCAAAACAGGAAAAGAAATGTATGTTTAAATTGTTGAGAGAAGGTTCTATAAGCAGAAATAAAAGAATTTCACTCATTACATGTATGAGTAATTTCTTGACTCCCAGTAGCACTATTTTATTTTCCTGTATTACTGTTGTCAATTCATTGTATCTTTTGTTTTATAGTACCCATGTGGAGAAATGGATTTTGAATCTTCCCTATCATCTCAAAATTTTGATGACCAAGTGGTAAGTCGTGTTGTTTTAAAGCATTTTGAAACTTGATCAGAAGCACAATTTATTTTAGCTTCAGATTTTCTGCTTCTTATATATTTAAAAACCCAGCAAGTGAAGAAGCCATCTATAGATTTGTCCAATGTGGGGGGTTTTTTGTTGGTTTGTGAGGGTTTCGTTTGTTTAGTGGTAGTTTTGGTTTTTGTTGTTGTTTGGGTTTTGAGTCGTTGACAGCAGTTGCAGATGTTTTAAAATTGACCCAAACATTCTGGATTATATAATATCTACATTGTACTGGTAACTGATGAAAGCATCAGCATAAAGACTCATCTAACAGCCTAGGAACAAATTGGATTAAACATAGCAAACACAGCTGTGGGGCTTGATAGACAACAAAACCAGTTTTAGGGCAGTGTGAAAAGGCCTTGGCAGTTTTGAAATGTTATTCTCATGTAAAGCACGTTTGCCTATTCTGGATGAACTTCTCTGCCTTTGGCCTCTTGATAACCTCTCAAGTGCTGTCCAGAAGCTGTTTTCACTGAAGGTGCCTGCTGGATGATGCTGATGCTGAGGTGTGCAACCCTGGCAGCATCTCAGATGAACAAGAATCCTCTTGAGTTTGCTTCTGCAAAAGCTCACAACTAGCATTGCCTGCTGCTGGAAATCTCTCTTTTAGAAGTGTAGAGATGCTGTTCTCTCATCTCAGTGGCTGTGTGAGATATGTACTTCCTTGTGAGTTTATCAGATGAGCACAAATGACTCGATGAACCTCTTCCAACTTGAGATATTCTACGAATGCACAAGAAACAACTAGGAAAAAAACATGCAGTGAGCTGATAGGATTTAGAAAAACTGTGCAGGCATCTGAGGTTGTTAATATTGCCACGCATTTTCGGCTATAACCCTCCTTGTGTTACCCCTTGTTTTGTTGAGCATACCCTGTGCTGGTACTTAGCTACTTGTGTAGTGAAATAAAGCCTGGGAGAGAAATCTTTTATCTTTTTCCTTTTTTTTTTTTTTCTCTTTTCTGTAAGATTGCCCTGAGGAAAACACCTGCCTCTTTCATGGTCTGCTTTAGGAGCTGCGTGTGGGTGACTGATTTCTTTGTTCTCCTTAGGCTCTGGAGGAAGCAAACGACTGCTTGAGTGACCTGCCCAGCCCCTTTGCCTACCTGCTGACCATCCACCTGAAGGAAGGCCGAAACCTGGTTATCAGAGATCGTTGTGGTGAGCCCCACCTTTCAGCTGTTTTCCTTTGATATTCACACAGCTCTCCTTTCACTGATTTCATGTTGGCAGCACATTGGCTTCTTTTCTTATCTCCAGTGCAACAAATCATTGACTTGTATGTCTTGTCCAGGTCAGAGCAGTAAGAGATTGGGTTTATCCACTGTAGATACACAGGGGAGGGAGCTGCCCTCTCCTTGCTGCTCCTCCTGCCTGATGGTGCAGCTTCAAAGCACCTTCTTGGCTACTCCAGGCACTTGTACCTATTCACTGAAAGAAAGTCTATTTGAGCTTAAAAAAAAAAACAACAAAACAAAACAAAAAACCCCAGAGAATATTTAGAGATTTATTAAATGATGGAGCTGCTCTAGGAGTGCTTTTGGAGTTATCTGCAAAGATGTTAATAAAAGGGAAACCATAGGAGCAGGGCTGCAAGCCAACAACCCTCTCTCTAATCTGGGATGTGACTGAATGATGATGACATTCTAAAAACCCCAAACCCAAAATCGAGCCCCAAATGACGTATCAAATAAATTAAAAAAGATTTGGGGAATTCCTGGAAAAATTATGTGAAAGTGCCTGCTGTTAGCCTGGCTCTTCTTCAGGCTGTTGCAACAGGGAGTGAAAGTGCTTTTAAGCAGCCAGTTGGTAGTTTCTCCGCTTGCTGTGGAGGGAAGAACTGTCCTGGCAGAGGTTCTGCAGGGGCTCTCTAAACCTGTCAGAGAGCTCTTTCATATGTTCAGTCTTTATTTAATTTTTTTTTCTGCGTGTGGAAACAGTTCTGATACTTCTGTGTTGCAAAATGTCTGAGCATTTCTTTTGAGATGAAGCCATAGGGTTTATTCTTGCAGTTTTAAAGAAAATAAGCTTGCACAGTCTCAAGTCCTGTGAAGGTTTGCACCTGAAGGGACCTGTCTGCTTTAGAAACGTTCTCACATGGGCTGCTTATTGGGATTTTTATTGTCCACTATGTCAGTTAACTTTTTCCATGATGGTTTTTCGTGTCTTCACAAAACTGTAACTTTTGGCCAAGTTTTTTACCTTGTTTTTCCTCCCATTTTTTGGAAGGAGTGAATGAGTACTTAGATTAAGATATTTCCTGGTTATACAGAATTCCCTAACAGTGTAGCAGTTAATCAGATTTACTAGCAAGCTGCACAAGCCAGGACACATCCAACTGCTCATATGAAAAAGATGCTAGAAATGAGCAATTCCAGCTGAGTAATATTTCTAGAGAAGACAGAGCATACTTTGCTCCAGGCTGTGTTTCGTTGTGTAAGAAAGCTAATGCTTGTCTCAGTGCAGCACAGTGAAACAGCAAAAGGGGAAAAAAACATTTTGATGAGTCTCTGTTTTGTGGCAAATGACTGCTCATTTAGTAAACAGAGTGGGTGAGGTGATACATAATTCAATAAAACTCCTGCTTTTTATTATACAGGTAGTGGAAGGGGAGAAAATAGTGACTTAATGATTATTCTTCAGTCACCAGTGTGCTGCAGTGCTGGCTCCTCAACACTGCTGATACCGTGATGCATGTCTTTATAGGTCTCTGCTTTTGTGGCATCTTTGCATGACACTTGGGCTTGATTTACAACCACTGTGCGTTTTCAACATGCTTTTAAATGTGGGAAGTTGTCAGCTTTGCTTATCTCTCCAATGTGAGAAATCCTCAGGCCTTGTGGGCTGAAAGGGTGTGACTTCCCTGTCCTGTCCCCACCCTGATGCTGGATACAGCCACTGTGCTGGGGTATCAGTGTACTCTGAATAATCTGAATATAGGAACATGTTGTCCATAGCCACCATGTCCTGTGAATCAGATTGTGGCTTAGGCTGAAGGCCAAATCATCCTCTTCCACATTTTGGGAACACCAAACCCAACAATGCTGCCTGACACAGCTGGGAGAGGGCTCAGACCCTCTTCCCCACAGTTTTCCTTATGCAAAGAGGTGCCAGGGCTCTCCAGTGGGTAAAGCTTTGATGATCCTTGTGCATTTCTTCCAACTCAGGATGTTTTATGATTCTGTGAAAGCTGAGTTGCTGGTCCTATGTTTTAAACCCTCCTCTGGTCACCTTTGTGTGTGCAACTTCAAAAATGCTTTGGTTAGGTGAGAGTGCTGGCAGAGAGTTGGAGTTTCTAGGCAGGAGTAGAAATGTCCTGGTTTTTTCAAATAAATTGTTCATACTTTGCAGTCATTGATGCCAACCAACTCCAAATACCATGTGGAGTATTCTATACATTAAATAACAAAATATTCACGTGTAAACCACAAACTGAGTGAAGAGTTTATGCCAGCATCTCTAGCCTAAATCAGATTTAATGTAAGTCTTGTAATTTTCCTGAATTTTAATATTCAATTATTATGTTATCAGCAATTTCTCTGGGGGAAAAAGTCTCAGAGCAGTCATCAAGCCCTTTTTAGGAGTTCTTTACTGAGAGATAAAAAAATGGCATTTAAGTGTGTTGTCCTGTGTTCTTCTCATGTTTGCACTTTTCCCCTTAATTTTATCTTGCAACAGTTTAAATAGCTCTGAAGGGAAGCAGCCCCACAGCACGGGTGGGTGATGCCCTCTCCTGGCAGATGAGTAAAGTCTCTTGTACCGGTGACTATTTCTGCCTGTTTTATCCCAGTGTCAGAGGTATTTATCTGAATGTGTATATAAAAATAAATCTAAGGAGAAATATTTCTGCCCTTGGAAACAGCTGTTGCTGAAAAATCCTGTCTCCTCAGCAAATGTATAGGATTCTCCCTGAATTTACTCATTATATATTTAACAGTTATTAATTAGGAATTAAGTTTGTCTGAGTGAAGGGGATCAGGAGTTCTGCTGATAACTGCAGGCTATAAGACCAACATGTGGCTTCACTTTTTTCCAACTTTCCAGGTATTTTCCTGACTTTTTGACTTGCTGTGTTCTGCCCTTTCCAGGATATGTTCCCTTTGGTGTGATTTAAATTCCTCCTTCCCTTTACCAGATTTTTATTGCTTTTTTCCCTCCCTTCATAGTGTTAATCCTGTTAACACTGCTTTGTCCTGTTTTTCTCTTCACCTTTTGCCTCTTGAGTTGCTTTTTGTCTGTCTGTTCTTTCTGGTCCCTGACTTTCTGCAGCTCCTCTCCTTGTACCTGCTCTTTATAGAGAGGATCTGTCAACCCAGGAGCCTGGCTCAGCTGCATGTGTTCCCTGGTGCTTCCTCTAAAATACATAAGCAATGCAGGAAAAAAAAATATTTTCAGTGTTTTCTTCCCCTATTTTATCTATTTTTTGAAGTGTAAATGAAAGAAAAAGCTTCCATACAGCAACACCCAATATGTACCCCAGCAAAGGAAGCCAAGTGCTGTTAGAGCAGGATCTTGGTTCTGGTGGAAAGTGGAGAAGCTCTGAAAAATCCCTCTTTAGCTCAAAATTGCAGTGCCCCCCCTAGGGATGCAGGATGAGAGAGGTGTTACCTGCTGATCTTCAGCTTGCTTGGAGTCTGATTTACTTGCTTACAGTCTAACCCAGTCATACATTAGAAACTGCCTAAGCAGATGGTAAGATGTGCTTGGCATCTTACCTGTGTGTACCTTTGGTACCTTACATTAGACAGCACATGGGTCCTGTTTTTAAAATTCTTGTAATTGATGACTCAAACACTGAAGGTCACAGTTCTCAGTGTGTATATACACAGCACGAAAAACTTGATTTTTATGCACTTTTTATAGTATTATTGTTACTAGATGACATGATGCATTTCAGTGATGGTGAGGAGTTTGTGTCTATGTAGTTTTAATACTGTAAGTAATAAGAAAAGGAGAATGTATTTTATTGATTAAAAATCTGTTGAGCACAGCAGCAGTTCTGCAGAACAGAGAGATAACTATCTTATTTGGCTTAAAAAAAAAAATCACTGGTGCTGTCAGTGTTGCTGTCTTGTTACACCCTTAGTGGTTTTATGACCTTGTTGACCCTGTTTTTGTGAAGCTCCCAACTTCCTGCTTTGAACTAGGAGAGGCTGGAGCCCATTTCTACCTGCTGGTTCACTTTCACAGGGCAGGGTGATGCCTCATGATCATTTGAGTCAGTCTAATGAAATCTGAAAGGTCCTGCTCCCTTTTGGCTCTGAGGTGCTCTGACTGTGCACATTTGCTGCCTGTACCAGTCACCTTTGCACAACAGTGATGCTGTGACAGGGAGCAGCAACGTGATGCCACAGCTGTAAGGAAATGTTGCCTTCCCTTACACCCAGCTTTGCCGCTGTTAAGAGTAAACAGAAACTGGGTTTTGAGTGCCTGTGCAGGTGAGAAGCCCCTCTCATTTCCAAATCCTGTACTTTCAAAGTCTGAGTATATTTTTCATCTGTTAAACAGTGTGGTTACAAGAAGTACACTTCTTGGATGTGATGTCAGCTGGTGAGTGGCTGTGGTTGGTGTCTTTTTTCTTTTTCCCCTCCTTTAAGCGCCTTGTTCCAGCCTGAACTTTGTGTGTGTCTCTTTTCCACATGGTTTTGTGTTTTGTAGATTTTTTCACAAGACCTTTGTGCCCTGTTTCTATTTCTTTCTTTTAAGTTTCATTTGTTTCCTGTTCCTGCACTTTGATTTTCTTCTCATTTCTTTCCCAAGGCAGCTGAACATGTGAAGGGAGCAAGATGGGATGCAGTAGTACAGAGGATGCCATTGTCTAGATAGGTGCACCCGGCTTTCCATATCCAGAGCATGTCATCATCTGCTCTCATGTCTAACAGCCCCCACTGCCAGAGGGTCCCAGTGGGCTCCTGGAGGTGGCAGGGAGGCTGTGCTGCATGGGCAGCTCTGGAATCACTGAGAGCTGTGCTAGAGCTCAGCCTCCCAAGGACAAAATAAAATGAAAGAAAGGGCTTAGGATAACACACTTTTAACTTCCAGCAGTAACGAATCTGCAGTAGCCCAGCACTCACAGCTCTGGGCTGTCCAGGAGCTGGACTTCGATGATCCTTGTGGGTCCCTTCCAGCTCAGGATATTCTGTGATTCACTGTCTGGGTCT